AGATTCATCTATGTTGCATCTAACAGTAGTTCATATCTTATTGCTGAGTTGTGTACCATGATCTAAATATATCACAATTTGTCCATTCACCAGTTAAAAAACATTAGGGTTGTTTCCAATTTTGAGCTGGTGACTAAAGCAGCTCTAAACATTCATAGTTTTTTGGTGGACATATGTTTTCATTTTTCTTGAATTGCTGGATCAAATGATAAGTGTATGTTTTAAGTGTATAAAAAGTACAGAACTATTTTATAAAGTTTTCCTTTCTACACTCTCACTTTGGTTCCATTTGCTCTACATCCTTACCAACTTTTGCTGTTGTTGTTTTGTAACAACTTTTTAGTCATTCTAATAGGTGTGAAGTGTTACCATTGTGGTTTTCATTTGCATTTTCCTGATAACTAATGATAGCATCTTTTCATGTAGTCATTTGGACAAATTCTTTTGTGAAATGTCTCAAGTTTTATTTTTTTTAATTGAGTTGCTTTCTTGTTGAATTGTAAAAATTCTTTATATATTCTGGATATAAATATTTTTTCAAACTCTTTGTAATTTAAAAACATATTTTTTGAAGATCAGAATTGTTTTTAATGAAGTACCTCTGTCCCTTGGTATGCATGGGAGATTGGTTTCAGCACCTGCTGCGATACCAAAATGGAGGATGCTTAAGTCCCATACTTGGCCTTCCATATCCACAGTTTCATGTCTTCAGATTCAACCAACCATGGATCATGTAGAAATGTATTTATTGAAAAATATCTCTGTATACACAGTTCAAACCTGTGTTGTTCAAGGGTCAACTGCATAATTTTTTTCATTGTTCTTATGGTTAATGATTTTTGTGTATTGTCTAAAAAAATTTGCCTACTCCAAGATTATAAAGATTGATTCTGTATTTTCTTCTAAAAGCTTTCTTGTATTAGCTTTCCCTTTAAGGTCTATAATCTATCTCAAATTAATCTTTATTTTAGTGTGATGTAAGGGTTTGGTTTTTTTTAATCACACATGGCTATCCAATTGCTTTAGTATCATTTCTTGAAAAAGGCTATCCTTTTTTTCCCATTGAATTACATTGGCATCTTTGTCAAAAATGACTTGACCAAATACGTAGCGGGGAGGGATTATTTCTGGACTGTATTCTGTATTTATGCTAAATCACATTGTCTTGATTACTGTAGCTTTATCTTTTCTCGAAAAATGGTCATTAAAAGGAATGAAGTACTGATACATGGTACAACATGGATGAACCTTGAAAACATAAGTAAAAGAACCCAGTCACAAAAGACCATATTTTGTATGATTCCATTATTTGGAATGTCCAGAATAAGCAAATCTATAGAGACCTGAAGTAGATTAGTGGTTTCCTAGGGCTGGGGGTTGGGAGAAAATGGGGAGTGGCTGCTAATGACTATGGGGTTTTGGAGGGAGGGGGGTGAGGGGGGATGGAGGGTGATGAAAATGTTTTGAAATTGATTGTGGTGTTGATTGCACAACTCCTCTGTGACTATACTAAAAACTATTGAATTGTACATTTTAAGTGGGTAAATTGTATGAATCCCCCATTGAATTGCTTCCAGTTCACCATTAAATGGGTGAATTGTAAATGAATTATATCTCAAGAAACCTGTTATCTGGGCAAAATAAATCCCAGTGGGCTTTTCTCTGGAAATTGAAAAGATTATTTTAAAATTGTATGGAAATTTTAAAGAATAACCAAACACTTTAGAAAAAGAAATAAGTTGGGAGACATTTTTGTTAATTTTCTTTATTGTTTGACTATTTTCCATTTAATTGACTTATTTTTATTCTTATACTTACTTTGGCTTTAATTTGCACTTGCTCTAGTTTCTGAAGAAAATTAGATGATTTTTAAACCTTTCTTCTTTTCTAATATAAAGTTATAAATTTCCTTCTAAGTAGTTCTTTAGTTGCGTCCTACAAATTAAGGTTATATTTTTCATTACCATTTTGTTAGAAATATTTTCTAGTTTCCTCTGTCATTTTCTTTAACCCATGGGTTATTTAGAAGTATCTAATTTCCATCTGTTGGAGATTTATAAAATATTTTATTGATTTACAATTCCATTGTGGTAAGAGAACATACTCTGTAAGATGTCAGTCTTTCAAATCTTGGTGAGTCTTATTTTATGACCCAGTTCTGTTCTATCTTGGTGCATGTTCCTGCACACCAGTAAGAATGTATATTTTGCAGCTGTTGGGTAAAGGGTGGTGTATCTGATTGCCTTTTATGTTTTATCTCCTTTGGTATTTAATAGTGTTTTATCACACAGTAGAAGTGTTGAGTAAAAACAAATTCTCAATTTTAACTCTGTGAGATAGTGCTAACTAAGAAAGTGATGGTGTTCCTCACCAAATGCAAAATTTAAATAATCAGTTATTTCATTGTACTGTGAATCTGTTCTGCTGTAATGGGGGCTTGAGAGTGGTAAACTAATAGTATGAACTATTATGGTCAATTTTGCCTATAGATAATTTTTTCAGGCCAAAGATATTTGAGCAAAAACATTTTGTTTCAATTTCGTCATGAATTGTAATTTGAAAAATTAAAACATAAACTACCAAGTAAATAAGTCATTTTGGCAAAAGATGAATGCTTAAATTTGATGAAAAACTAGGTGGATTAGATATTCAAGTGAATCTATGTAAGATGTGGGGCTTAACATTTATTTTTCAAATCTAGTAACACAAGGTTTAGATTCTACCTTAAATTCTAGAATGTTCTTTCAATAATCTTGAGCTTTGAGTAGACATAAGTTTTAACCAGAATGTCACAGTATGTTCAGTTACAGTGGTGTAGTAGAGTCCCTGCTGGGAAACAAAGGATTCTGTGTACCAGAGCCAGATGCACAACATTCCAGAATGAAAATTAGAGGGCCACACAAGAAACTAATTCAGGACAAGCCAGAGCTGTCTTTTTTTTTTTTTTCCTTGACTTATGTTTGTTTTTATCTTTAATATCCCATAACTTAAAGACAATGATATAAAATTAATAATACTTAACACTATGATATATGATCTTATGTTACATGATAAGGAAATAAGAGAGGGAAGAAAACAAAGATATTTTAATAAAAATGTATTCTGAAGTAAATAATGAAGAAATACTTATGACAACTACAGTCCTTATTTCTTTAACTGGTCACATGGTCATAGGTGGTATTTGTAACTACTTTCTTCTACTATGGTTTTTTTTTTAAACATCTTTATTGCAGTATAATTGCTTTACAATGGTGTGTTTCTGCTATATAACAAAGTGAATCAGTTATACATATGTTCCCATATCTCTTCCCTCTCCCACCCTCCCTATCCCACCCCTCTAGGTGGTCACAAACCACCGAGCTGATCTCCCTGTGCTATGCGGCTCTAGTGAGTTGGATGGACCTAGAGTCTGTCATACAGAGTGAAGTAAGTCAGAAAGAGAAAAACAAATACCGTATGCTAACACATATACATGGAATCTAAGAAAAAAAAGGTCATGAAGAACCTAGGGGTAAGACGGAATAAAGACACAGACCTACTAGAGAATGGACTTGAGGATATGGGGAGGGGGAAGGGTAAGCTGTGACAAAGTGAGAGAGTGGCATGGACTTATATACACTGTCATATTTTTAATGTTTTCCTTCTGTTAAAAAAGTTCAACCAGTTGAAAGATACAAATTGGTATTGTGGGTCCAATATAGTATTGATGTGTGGCCTTTATGTCTGAGACATATGGACATTTAATTAGTTCTCTTCATCGACAGGGGTGATTTGGGGGCAGTTTCACTTTCTTGGACACATGTGCTTGATTATCAGAAGGTTCTTGATAAGTTTTGCATATAACCTTGCCATCTGCTTATCTGTGAAACAGCTGTTTCCTTTATGCATTAAAGTAGCCTGCTCTATATGGCTTCCCAAACTCTTCTTAGGATACTTGTTTTTGCATCTTGAAGACCTCCTTTGTGTATTGAAAGCAGAGAAGCAATTTTAAAAGGTATTTCCCCCCAAAAATATATTAGATTATTAAAATCTTGGATTTCCAGCAGTGTTTTCATAGAAAAAGGTACCCATTCTGTTGATCCTTTTCTCATGATGTTTACTCTTTTTAACTCTGCAACAGATATAGAGGGCAGGGGTTCTTTATAAGAGCCAAGAGCAGGTGGCACTTGAGGTCCTGCCAGAAAGGTTCACTGTTACAGAAGATGTTATTTTTAGGAAGAGGTTATGGTGCCCTGAAATGTTTGAAAACGAACGTCTATAGGGAATTCAAAGTAACAGTCTGTGCTCTTGAAGCCTCTAGTCTTGTGGATAAGACAGAAATATATAAAAACCTAAACAGCAGTATAAACAGGTTATATTGAGTTGCAAATGGTTCGCAGTGTGAGTGCTGAAGATACCAGAGCAAAGGAAATCCCTGTGGCCATGACAGGGTTGGGTTGAACACTGGAGGCTGAGTATCTTGAGACACAGAAGGAAAGCAGTGTTAAGGCCATTTCTTGTTCTTCAGCCATCTCTGACTGTATATTTTGGTAAGGAATGGATTACCTCATATTTTTTTTTTTTTTTTTTTTTTTTTTGTTGCACGGGCGCCTTTTTTTTTTTGTCTCCTCTTTTTAAGCGAAGTGTCGAAGACCGGGGAGCTCGCCGGGGCGGCCAGGGCGCTCGGGGCC